TGCAAGGAGAGACAAGAAGGCCTTCTTAAACGAGCAATGCAAAGAAATAGAGGAAAACAACAGAATGGGAAGAACCAGAGATCTGTTCAAGAAAATTGGAGATATGAAAGGAACATTTCGTACAAAGATTACCATAATAAAGGACAAAAGTGGTAAGGACCTAACAGAAGCAGAAGACATCAAGAAGAGGTGGCAAGAATACACAGAGGAATTATACCAGAAAGATATGGATGCTCGTACACCCCAGGACATCCTGGAGAGTGAAGTCAAATGGGCCTTAGAAAGCACTGCAAATAACAAGGCCAGTGGAAGTGATGGTATTCCAGCTGAACTATTTAAAATTTTAAAAGATGATGCTGTTAAGGTGCTACACTCAATATGCCAGCAAGTTTGGAAAACTCAGCAGTGGCCAGAGATTGGAGAAGATCAGTCTACATCCCAATCCCAAAGAATGCTCCACCTACCACACAATTGCACTCATTTCACACGTAGCCAAGGTTGTGCTTTAAATTCTACCAAGGTAGGCTCAAGCAGTATGTGGACCAAGAACTCCCAGAAGTGCAAGCTGGATTTAGAAGAGGCAGAGGAACCAGAGACCAAATTGCAAACATGCGCTGGATTATGGAGAAAGCTAGAGAGTTCCAGATAGACATCTACTTTTGCTTCATTGACTATGCAAAAGCCTTTGACTGTGTCGACAACAGCAAACTATGGCAAGTTCTTAAAGAAATGGGAGTGCCTGATCACCTCATCTGTCTCCTGAGAAATATCTATGTGTGACAAGAAGATACAGTTAGAACTGGATATAGAACAACTGATTGGTTCAAAATTGGAAAGGAGTACGGCAAGGCTGTATAATTGTCTCCCTACTTATTTAACTTATATGCAGAATTCATCATGCGAAAGGCTGGGCTGGATGAATCCCTAGCCGGAATTAAGATTGCCGGAAGAAATATCAACAACCTCAGATATGCAGATGACACAACATTGATGGCAGAAAGTGAGGAGGAATTAAAGAACTTGCAGGAGAGATCGTAGAAATTTTGCCTGAAAGCCATCTAGCTTTGGCAGGAAAGAACCCTTTAATGAGGGTGAAAGAAGAGAGCGCAAAATATGGGTTGAAGCTCAACATAAAAAAAACGAAGATCATGGCCACTGGGCCATCACCTCCTGGCAAATAGAAGGGGAAGAAATGAAGGCAGTGAGAGATTTTACTTTCTTGGACTCCATGATCACTGCAGATGGCGAGAGCAGCCCACGAAATTAAAAGATGCCTGCTTCTTGGGAGAAAAGCGATGACAAACCTTGACAGCATCTTAAAAAAGCAGAGACATCACCTTGCCAACAAAAGTCCGTATAGTTAAAGCTATGGTTTTCCCAGTAGTGATGTATGGAAGTGAGAGCTGGACCATAAAGAAGGCTGATCGCCGAAGAACTGATGTTTTTGAATTATGGTCTGGAGGAGACTCTTGAGAGTCCCATGGACTGCAAGAAGATCAAACCGATCCATTCTGAAGGAAATCAGCCCTGAGTGCTCACTGGAAATATAGATCCTGAAGCTGAGACTCCAATACTTTGGCCACCTCATGAGAAGAGAAGACTCCCTGGAAAAGACCCTGATGTTGGGAAAGATGGAGGGCACAAGGAGAAGGGGATGACAGAGGATGAGATGGTTGGACAGTGTTCTCAAAGCTACCAGCATGACTTTGACCAAACTGCGGGAGGCAGTGGAAGACAGGAGTGCCTGGCGTGCTCTGGTCCATGGGGTCATGAAGAGTCAGACACGACTAAACAACAACAAATCTTGGCTCAGGACCCCAGCAAATGGTATAAAAGCCCCTGATTTCAGAAGAAGAGTGGCGATCTTGATATGAACCATTCTGGAGCATGAAGATGGGCTTCGAGCCTAACTAAAGAACCGTCAGCCAGCCTGAAGAAACGGAGATATCCAGTGGCTGGAGAGGACATGCAGATGAGCCTATTATATCCCTATATCTCTGCTTATTATTCCTTTGCTTAAAATATTTACTTATTGTCTATAGTGGTATCTCGGGTTACATATGCTTCAGGTTACATACGCTTCAGGTTACAGACTCTGCTAACCTCGGGTTAAGAACTTTGCTTCAGGATGAGAACAGAAATCATGCTCCAGAGGTGAGGCGGCAGCAGGAGGCCCCATTAGCTGAAGTTGTGCTTCAGGTTAAGAGCAGTTTCAGGTTAAGAACGGACCTCTGGAACGAATTAAGTTCTTAACCCGAGGTACCACTGTAAAGGCTTTCTTCACTCAATGGTCTGTCAGTCCTCCATCCAGTGAGGTCCAAAGAACCTGTTTTCCCTTGCCTAGTGGTTGCCCCAGCTGGGGTGGCTATTGAGCAAGGCAGCAGGCTGAGAGGGTATTGGCTCCACGCATGCCCTCGCAGCTGGCAAGGCATAGCATTTGGGTGGCATATATTAAGCTTTATGTGTAAACCAAGACAGATGTAATGATTGTATTGTTCATGTGAGCTGACGTTTTGCAGGGGGTTAAAATTCCCCCTTCCTTTGTCTCTTCCCCCAAGGGCGAAACTAGGCAGTATTTCAAAGACCCAGTTTGGCACCCAATCACCAAGCATATTTGCATACACACACAGACAGAGGCTGGAAGACTCAATGGCACTCCTCTGGAGGCTTCACCTGGCACAAATTCCTGCCTAGCCCCACCCCACCCCATAGCCATGTCTCTGCCCTGCCTCCTTAATAAATTCACAATTTTTAAAACTATATATATATATAAGAATTTTTTTCCAAAAGCAAAACATTCTGCATAGCCCGGACATTTAAATGGCTGGTTCTGCCAAATTTCCAGTTTCTGGACTTTGGCATTTGCTTCTTGAAACACAACAGGGGAAAAAAGATCTCACCAGTTATTGAAAATGGTGTCATTGATCCATTTCCAAGGTTCCTGGTCATCCATTCTTTGGAGACCAATCCAGTGATCAGCAGGACCTTTGTATCGTCTCAAGAAGCTCTTAATAAAGAAAAGAAGTGTGAATACATTTCCACCCTCATTCAAGTAGAGAATCAACTCTATTTAGGGCTGCAGACTCTGTATCTTCCCACTCACCATCTCCTCTTGGGAGTCAATCACAACCAAAGAGGCATTGAGAGAGGCACAGTAATTCTGGCTATATGTCCAGTTTCTTCACTCTCTGAAAAATAGTAACATTTCCTTTGGTAGCCAATCCAGCCATCCGGACAGTACTCAGTTGGAGTGGAAGGAGAAGGTAGGGCGGTAGGCAATACTTCACAACTTCCCCTATTGATAAGAAGGGTATCAGAAAGTGAGACAGATTATATCTTATAAATAGTCCTTCCAAAAATAGAGGTCAGGCAGCGTACTCCACTCATCACCATCATCTTATTCATATGCTGCCTTTTTACAAAAACAATCCTGCTTAAAGCAGCTCACAACAAAGAAAAAGGAAATACATCTCAAAATCAGGTATTTCATAACTATACAGTGGTGCCTCGCAAGACGAAATTAATTCATTCTGCGAGTTTTTTTGTCTTGCGAATTTTTCGTCTTGTGAAGCACGGTTTCGGAAAAGTTTTGGAAAAGCTTCAAAAATCACCAAAGTCTTCAAAAAACCTCAAAAAAGGCTACCACACCGCGTGCTATGAGTTGCTCCTCGAAGTCAAGTCGCAACTGTATTAATGATTTTAAGAAAAAGGAAACAAACTTGCAAGACATTTCCGTCTTGCGAAGCAAGCCCATAGGGAAATTCATCTTGCGAAGCAACTCAAAAAACCAAAAACCCTTTCGTCTTGTGAGTTTTTCGTCTTGCGAGGCATTCGTCTTGCGAGGTACCACTGTAGATCAAAACAACATAACTGCAAATATAGCACACAAAAGCATTGCATGAAGAACTCATCGTCTCCAGGTTGACAATCTTTCAGAGCCACTGCTAGTCAGATCACAAGTCGGTTGGTGCTGATGAGATTTGTAACCAAACAACATCTAGAGGACAACACATTGGTTGCCTGGGAAGACAGTACTCAGCAGAGGGACCAAAGGTTATAGAGCAAATGATCTGCATGCAAACTATTTCTGGTTCCACCCGCAGCGTCTCCAGGTAGAGATCCCTGTTGGAAACCCTGGGCAGCCACTGCCAGGCTGTGTAGACTCAGCAGGAGCCAAGATGATGTTCAGATGGTGGGAGTCGTAGACCAACAGTGTCTAGAGGGCACCCAATGGGCTACTCCCAGAGACAACGCTGGCCAAATGGACTAAAAGTCTTGACTCGGGATAAGGGTCCTTCCTCTGCATGAGGAACAGATTGGGTAAATTAGGGTAGGAGGGAGTGCAGCAAACCTAGGGCCCATCTCTGTCCACAAGCCCAGGAGGCTGCAGAACATGGAGCAGCTTCTCCCACGGCTGCCACACATCCAAAGCCAGTCAGGTCCCTACACCTGATTCCTCATAAGAGTTGACTCTCCCTGAGAGGAGCATTGGATCAGAATTGTGTCCTGCCATGACAGAAAACATTTACAAGAAAGCATAAGGAAACTCAGGGAAACCTGAAGGACCTGTCAGATTCTTAAGTAAGATGACGTGTGGATAACATCACTGTGCAATTTAGTCACTAGGTGGCCCTGGACTTAATCTTATGTGCTAGGAGGCTTGTAACTGTTCTTGTTCAGATATTATTTTGTAATAGCTTCAGCTACAGAAATAAATAATATTCATGTTCCTTCTGGTTTAGGAGAAATAATAAAGTTATCATCTAGCTTCCTTACTAGTCTGCCTTACCATCTGAAGCCTATATATATATATTTAAACATCACCAGTGCAACACATTATACCAAATATAATACATACAATACATATACTTTAGCCCACTTATTTGGAAATAAGCACAATGGTTTTTGATTCTGAGCAAGCACACTTATGGTTTGTTTGTTGATATCCTGCACATACTAGACAAGGGATGGGATGTCGTTGGATTTGAACTCCCACCAGCCCTTCCCACTTCCCTTCCAACAAAGGATTGGTGGAAGTTGCAACCCAACTACGTGAGAAGGGCCACCCTTATTCTTAGCGCTCACAAATGCACACATCAGTACAGGCCTTTTCATCTGGTGCTGGAATTCTTTTAAAACAAGCCGCTTACACAAAACCCTCTAGATGTCATTGAATTCCAACTCCCATCATCCCTGGCCATTAGCCATACTGGCTGGGGCTAATGGGGAAATACAATCCAAAATGGCAGGGTAGAGTCAGTCTATTGACAAAGGACATTACTGCTGCTTACTATGGTGGTTCAGGGTGGCGGCAAGGTTGGGGCAGTGTGGGTGCTGGTAGAGCAATTCTAGCACCCCTGCTGTGGGGTTCAAGCCACCCCACAATAAGGGTGTAGCGACGGGGGTGCAATAGGGGCCCGCTGCACTGGGTGCCACCACTGAAATAATAATAATAATAATAATAATAATAATAATAATAATAAATTTTATTTATATCCCGCCCTCCCCAGCCGAAGCCGGGCTAACAACAATAAAACAGTACAACACAACCATTCATTATAAAATTAATTCAAATCAAACCAATGGCAACCATTGGGCCAGAGCTCAGCGAAGATTGCCGAAGGAGGGAGTCAGGCTGTGCCCTGGCCAAAGGCCTGGTGGAACAGCTCTGTTTTGCAGGCCCTGCGGAAAGATGTCAAGTCCCGCAGGGCCCTAGTCTCTTATGACAGAGTGTTCCACCAGATCGGAGCCACAGCCGAAAAAGCCCTGGCTCTAGTTGAGGCCAGCCTAACCTCTCTGTGGCCTGGGACTTCAATATGTTTTTATTTGAAGACCGTAGGTTTCTCTGTGGGACATACCAGGAGAGGCGGTCCCGTAGGTACGAGGGCCCTAGGCCGTATAGGGCTTTAAAGGTTAAAACCAGCACCTTAAACCTGATCCTGTACTCCACCGGGAGCCAGTGCAGCTGGTATAGCACCGGGTGCATGTGATCTCGCAGCGAGGACCCCGTAAGGAGTCTCGCCGCGGCATTCTGCACCCGCTGGAGTTTCTGGGTCAGTCTCAAGGGCAGCCCCACGTAGAGCGAGTTACAATAATCCAGTCTGGAGGTGACCGTCGCGTGGATCACAGTGGCTAGGTCAGGGCGAGAGAGGTAAGGAGCCAACTGCTTAGCTTGGCGGAGATGGAAAAATGCCGCCTTTGTTATAGCTGCAATCTGCACCTCCATGGAAAGGGAGGTGTCGAAGATTACACCCAAACTCTTAACGGACGGTGCTGGCACTAATTGTGCCCCTGCAAGAAAGGGTGACAAATCCAGGCAGCACTCACCTTGGGGCCTGCAGCGCGCCCGAGCCATGGCTCTGCTGCTCAAAAGGTCCACCTGCTGCCTCCCCAGCTGTAGGATGACTGAGGGGGAGGAGGCAGACAGACTCCTCGGAGCCCTGCGAACACCAGGCCCCGCCACCCCGGGCACCCAATCGGATTGCTCCACCGCTGCCCACAATCACCTGGTAAACAACGACAATGCTACTGCCAAGAGGCCAGCATCATCCCAGCCCACCAGCTGCTCTTGCAATAAGGGCACCAGATTGCAGAAGGCTGTTTATATCATTTGAAATTTAAGCATCTCTGTGTGCATATTAGTCTATTATTACAGTAAACAAAGATTACAGTAAACATACATTAACTGAATGTGGGCCCCCATCCGCAACTGCTTCCAGACTACCTCAACTGAATAACAATAAAGCTATTCTAGCTGCTGAGGAGAGATTTTTGAGAACAGGTGGCCTGTAGAGAAGCTGGCAGAAGTTACAGCAAAATGGCTCCTCACTTACTTGATAAACGAATGCTGCCCGTGATGATGATGGAAATGATCAGAATGACAATAAGCGCCAAGCTCAAAATTTTTATATTAAAAACGCGTCTCCGATTTTCCATTATTGCACAAACCTGCAGAGGGAAATAAAGTGTTAATGTGTCCTTGGTTTCAGCAAGATGCCGGACAAGTCCTTCTAGAAACTCCAAAGTATCTGGAGGGCTCCAAGTCTACCAAGGCTTGGGTAGTCCACCCACATTGAAGGTGTGAGTTCAAGCTTGCATCACACCAAGATGTCATACCACTCAACAGTCCTGATTTATGTGGGACATCCTGGAATTACAGAAGCCAATCCTGACTTCTGATTGAATCCAATAATGTCCCATTTTTTTGGTCCGGTGCTCTGGTGCGGATCAGCTGGGGACCAAAAAAGAAACATCCCGATTTTGGTCAGTGGGATGTTGGAAGAGTATGAGATGAACCAAGTTCACCTGTGGCATCATGAAGCTCATAGGTTTGGTGCCTCCCACCACAAAGTCAGCCAAGTGGTAGGCCTCTGCGCATGGCTGGTGAGTCACCGTTATTTATTTTATTAAAAAGTATTTACATGCCACCATCTCCTAAACTATCAAGGTGCTGCACAATAATATTTGTACAATAAAACTAAAATCACCAGAAGAAATAGTAAAATAAATATATAAATCATTAAAATAACTGGGAGATCAACAACATTTTAAACAGCTGTATAGGCTTGTTGGCATAAGAAAAGATCTTCAAGAGATGCTAGAAGTCAAAAGTGAAGATGCCAGATGTATCTGTGCTGGAAGAGCCTTTCACAGATTGAACTGGTGGCGCTAAATGCCCAAATTCTAGCTGAGGTCACTTGGGCTTCTGAGACACGGAGACAACCAGATGTGCTCCTGTGGATGATCTTAGTGATGAAGCTGGGATATAAGGGCTCAGGTGGCCCTTAAGGTATCCTGGACCAAAGTTCTTCTGGGCTTTGTATGTGGACCTTGAATCTGGCTTAGCAATGTATGTGCATTCGCTGCAAACATTTTAGCAGAGCTGCCACGTACTGTCAACCAATGCCTCCATCAGAGGTCTAGGCATTCTGCAAAATCTGGAGCTTCACAGCTAGGCTGGAGGGCAGCACCACATAAAACACAGTAATAATCCAGTTTTTAGTAAGAACTTTAGTGATGTTAAAGCAAAGGTTGAAGTGACTGCAGGAACTGAATGGAATGTGATGCATGCCAAATGTCACATAGGCAATGCAGGAAGACAGAGGGCAGCACAACCCGTTGTATGAATCATTAACAGATAGCCAATGTATGTACACATGTGCAAGGAGAGAAATTTGAAATGCAACTGTGTGTATATCCCAGGCTGAGAACTTGCTATTTTAGTGGGATCCCATCCAGAACAGGTAAATGGCCTGTCTCCTGGCCATGCAGCTGTTGTAAAATCTGCCCTGCTAAGATGGGTATCCAAAAGTTATGCTTGTCATCTAATAGTGGCAGCCTTGTTAAATCCACTGGCATCATGGAAGTGACAGAAGGGGATCTCTGTCCTATGTAGAAACAGAATGGGATATTTTGTTCATGCATCTCAGGCTAGTGTAGAAACCATTTTAATCTTGGCTGTAAAACAAACCATTAAGGGAATACAGTTTGAGCTCTTGCACATTTCTGTATAACATAAGAGTTGGTTCCAATATATCACGGGTAGATCCATTAATGTGTAAAACTAAATGAATTCCTATAAAAATGAATTGTTCACCTAAACAGCATCTATTGCGCTAGAAATCTTTATTCATTCAATAAAGGACAGTGAATTTTCAAATTTGCCTCAACCAAATAACAACAAGAAGAAGTGCAACAACAAGAGCAAAAACAAAGCATTTCAGTGCCACTGTGCTAGTAAATGCTGTGGACCATGTACCTGCATCTGCAGATTCCTAGTCGCTTATCTGTGACTCTCTAGGTCTGTGTAATAATAATAATAATAATAATAATAATAATAATAATAATAAAATTATTTATATCCCGCCCTCCCCAGCCGAAGCTGGGCTCAGGGCAGCTAACAACAATCAAAATAGTCCAACATTCTAAAAACATTCATTATAAAATTAATTAAAATCAAATTAAAATCAAATTAATGGCAACCATCAAGCAAAATTCTGTGCAGATTGCCAGAGGAGGGGGTCAGGCTGCGCCCTGACCAAAGGCCTGGTGGAACAGCACTGTCTTGCAGGCCCTGCGGAAGGATGTCAGGTCCCGCAGGGCCCTAGTCTCTTGTGTACAGCAGAAATGGGGGCCATGTGGTCCTCCAGATGTTTTTGGTCTACAGGTCTCATCATTCCTGAACATTGGCTATCAGGGAGTGATGGGAGGGAGTTGGAATCTAGCAAGCCACAAGCTCTGCATTCTTGGTGTACATGGAAGGTGAACTGGGAAAAGAGGTAGGAATCTCTCTCCTCAAGGGCAGTCTCACCCCCTTCTCCTTATGCATGCCTGTGTGAGGAAGGATTGTTCCATCTGAGAGAGGAACTAAGAAGAGACTGAGAAGCCTTCCTCACTATTCAAAACTGGGTACAATCAACAGTTTAGAGGAGCTGAACATGCTTTGAAAGAGGTATCGCTTCCCATGATGTAAAGGTATCTCTCTGCTCCAACCACTCAATCTTGTCAAATCAATTTTTACAAGAGTAGCTATGTACCCATCCTTTTCCAACTGTTTTAACTGCCTGAATAAACTAGAGTCTCCATGAATAAACATGAGTCTCCATGATACTTCAGGTATCTGAAGAAATGTGCATGCACACAAAAGCTCATACCAAGAACTAACTTAGTTGGTCTTTAAGGTGCTACTGGAAGGAATTTTTTTGTTTTGACTATGGCAGACCAACACGGCTACCTATCAGTGTATCTGAAGAAGTATGCATGCACACGAAAGCTCATACCAAGAACTAACTTAGTTGGTCTTTAAGGTGCTACTAGAAGGAATTTTTTTTGTTTTGTCCATGAATTTAATTAGTTGGCCCGCATTTTGCAGCTCTCATCCCAGCAGCAAATCCATAACTTTTCTGACAGTAGGTGGAGACAAACACACCTTTCTCATCAGAACTCACTTACCATTTAGACAGCAGCACTGTTTCGGAGGAATGACTTCTCTCGCTTGTTGGGTGCTTCCATTATTTGTGATTTCATTACTTCCAGCATTCTGTGCTACTGCTGGATTCATGGGGAGACTTCGCTCTGTCGTTTTAGTTTCAGAGAAACCCATCTTTTCCTTCTCCCAGGAGGATCCACAGATCTCACAATAAATGCTACTCAGCTCTAGTTACACTGAGTTTTCCAGTTTCTTAAGATATGTTCAAAGCAGATCACTGGATTGCAGATTCAAGCACAGTTTGGCTGGGTGATGTGGTGAGAAAACACCCCTTTAAAACACCACTTAATCATGTGCTTTAATTGGATACTATGTCCAGCCAAGCTGTACTTAATATGTATTCCATTTCCCTGTGTAAAATGGCTGCCTTTGGGACTGCTTTTATTCCCAGCGAAAGTAAAGCCTCTTCAGAGTCTGAAGTATCAATTCTGGGCTTTTGCCACAAAATAATTTCACAACAACATCAGTTTTTGCCACAGCATCAATGTCCCGAGATTTCTCTGTGGAGACAAAATTACAGAGCAGAGAAATAAATTATCTTTTCTTGAAGTCTTTAAAAGGTGCAGTTTTGCTTCCATACTAGTATAGCCCCCGACAAAAGCCCTGAATGTGGTCTTACATATACCAATTTACAGGTCTGGAAATTCAGGTATGAAATATTGCTTCTTTTTAGTCTAAATGATTATAATCATGTTTCTATATCTACTTGATGAAATTAAAGCATTGAGAAAAAGTGAAAGGGAGGAGCCCTTGAGATAGTTAAAGATGGCTATCTTATCTCCCCTCAGTCTCCTCTTTCCCAGGTTTCCATGCCTTATTAGGAAAGGTCGCTCTCATCTGGACACTTTCCACCCTGGGTTGGCAAACTAAGGCCTGGGGGCAGGATGCGGCCCACCAGACTCATAAATCTGGCTCCCAGAGCCCGCCACCCACTCAGTCAGTCCCCGCAGAAACCGCAGATGCCTCACTGTGTGGGGACTGACTTCCATGACACTGGCGCGGCTTCGGATTTGGAATCCAAAGCTGTGGACACCTCTGGGTGATGCCTATTCTTTCCCACTGAGGTGGCCGCCAAGAGCCGAGCGGGAGGAAGCAGCGGTGGCGGGGAGGCCTCTCCCCTCTGCTGCCCAGGCCAGTGGCATCGGCTCTGCGCCCCGCGGACCCCTGGCCAAGGCAGAGGATGCCGACGAAGACAAGTCAGTGTTGGCAGCTGCAGCTACGGTGAGCGAGATGGATGTGAGTGGTGGCAGGGCGGCATGCTGGGTGCTCTTGCCCCTTTCGGGAGAGAGTGAATCCAGCCCCCCACAGGGTCTGAGGGACAGTGGACCGGCCCCCTGCTGAAAAAGTTTGCTGACCCCTGCTTTCCCCTTGTCAACATTCTCCTTAAATGGTGGTGCCCAGATTGGATACAGTACTCCAGGTGAGGTCTGATCCACTTTAATAAAGGTGTCTGGCACAAAAATCTCTGAATGCATCTGCCTAAAATTTGGCAGGCTTAATCTAGAGAGGCTCATATTTCTGCAAATTTCTTCCACTTTTCTCTGAAGCGTGAACAACAGTACAGTCATACCTCGGGTTAAATACGCTTCGAGTTGAGCGCTTTCGTGTTGCGCTCCGCGGCAACCCGGAAGTAACGGAGCGTGTTACTTCCGGGTTTCGCCGCTTGCACATGCGCAGACGCTCAAAATGATGTCACACTCATGCGCAAAAGTGGCGAAAAGTGACGCACGCGCGCGCAGACATGCCGCCACTAGTTACGTTTACCTCTAGATGTGAACGGGGCTCCGGAATGGATTCTGTTCGTATCTAGAGGTACCACTGTATAGCCATTTTTTTATTCCCCACTCTATTGAATGAGGGGGTGAGAACTTTGGGTTGTATTCCTAGCAGTGCCAGGAGAATGTTCTGTCAGCACCAGGATTTCTCCTTGCACAAGGGAACATTCTCCTCCTCTCCTCCCTCACGACCCCCAAGGGATTCTAGCAGTTCCCCCAATCAAACAAAGCCGTCCTTATATTCAGTGCTTTTTTTCCTGGGGTTACGTGGGAGTACATGTACTCCTAAACTTTTTGTGAATCTAAATGTTCCTGGGAAAGAGGCGGAGGAAGTGGCAGCAGCAGCAGGAGGGGAGAGGCAGGAAGGAAGCAGCGCCTGCGAGGTCCACAGTCATCTAATCTTAGCCCAGTATCCGGCTGGGAGAGGGGCGGAGGACGGCAGCCATACAGATATGGCCACCAGATTTTTTTCAATGAATCCGGGAACACTTTTTTTTTTTTTTTTTTTTTTTTAAGCTGAGAAGCAACAGGGATTCAGTAGTGGGGATGGTGAGGCAAAAGACCCTGGACCCAAGCACACGTGCATATTGTATAAAGCCCTTCTTTCGCACCCTGTGAAACATAAATGCGCAGAGTTTTTAAAAAACTGGGAAACAGAATGCCGCCCACCCGTGACTCCTGAGCCTCCCCCGATCAGTCAAAACAAAGGGGGAAGGGGGCCAGACGTGCCCAGTTCCCCTTCGGCAGTGGCAGCGCCACAGCAGTGAGCAGTTCCTGAAGCCAGCCAGAGCCAACTGCACTACCAGCCTGGCTCCGGGCTGCTGAGGCTGCTGCTGCTACATTTCCTGGGGACAGATTTGCAAATCTGGGGACATTCCAGGGACGGAATTTGTCCGGGGACAGATTTGCAAATTTGGGGACTGTCCCTGGGAACTGGGGACGTCTGGTAACCCTAGAGGAGCCCCCCCCTGCGAGATCCTCCCTCCCCTTGCAGATGCACTCTGCGGCTAGGGCCAGATTTAGGTTTGATGAGGCCCTAAGCTACTGAAGGTAATGGGGCCCTTTATATGTCCTTTGTCAACAACAAATTTTCGCTGTTTTTTGTGTTGAAAATATGCTATATGGTAATTTATGGACCTAATGGGTATCTAAAGCCATTTGCCCATGTTGCCATGCAACCAGTCCATGCAGAATGTAGGCACCCTATATATGGAAATGAGCAAACCAGTGATATTTTAGGGAGCAGGCTAGCAGGTAGGGCCCATGACTTACCGTATTTTTCACTCCACTTTTACCTTCTGGCAGAATCAATCTAGCAGCTATGTTCTTCAGCGCACAAATAGATATCTGCTGCCGACCAAGCCCACAAGAAGCAAAAGAGAAAGTGTTATCAAAGCGACTGGTTCCTGCTATTTATATTCTCCTCTTCCTCCCCCTCCCCCTCCCCCGCCTCCTCATCCTTGCCAGATAAGTCCTAGTCAACAGTTTCTGACTCCAGCCCCGCACAGCCTTTAATCTCGCCCCCAGCCTGAATCTAGAGATGGTTTCAATTGCCCAAGGTCTTCTGCCTTGCTTCAGAGAACAGTGCAACCCTGAAGGCATTCTTGGGCATGAAGTGAAAAAGAATTTCTAGCATGATTTAAAATCAGCCCCACCAACAAAGGGCAGAACATCCCAGTGGGGAATGTGATCACCCTCCATGTGCAAAGTTCAATGTTCAAATGTACTTTTGAAAGTGACAAACCTAACCTACTCATGCACCGGAGAGTCCCTGTTTCTGCCACCCCAAACCTGGGAATCATAAGTTTCATACACGACTTTATTGTAAAACCCTCAGAGTGGTATACAAAAAGATAAAACAATAAAATCAGAAAAAAACACAACCCTAATTTAAAACATACAAAAGTAAAAATATTAAAGCAGATTATAATTATGTACCTCAACTTTCTAAGCAACTTGAAGGCTTATCTAACAACATAATGTTTTTAGCTGGTGCCAAATTTCCTTATATCTCCTTTTTACCTCCTTTTGGGATCAATCCAGCAGCCAGTTTCTGCAGTTTCTGATGTTGGCAAAGGCTTCAAGAAGCAGAACAGGATTTTATAATAATAAAATATATAAAATAATGCTATTGTCAGCAGCTGCTACTAAATTTTGTGGATTTCTGGAAATGGAACTGATTTCCTGCAATTGTTATTGTAGTAGTTGATTTGAAGCCAACCGGGAAGCCAGAACTAAAAGGGGTGGGATTTCCTTCCCTGCCTCTCCTTTGCCCTGAATTCCCCTCTGGTTCAGCATGAGGACTGTTTTTTAAACTGAGCTTCATAAGACTATAAGAACATCAGAATAGCCCGGCTGGATGAGGCCAAGGGCATATGGAGTCCAGCACCCTGTTCTCACAGGGGCCACCCAGATGCCTGTGGGAAACTCACAAGAGCGCTCTGCCCATCTGCAGTTTCCAGTAACTCAGAAGGAGGCAAAGCACAGACCTCATGGCTAGTAGCTCTCAATAGCCCTCTTCCCCACGAACCTTTCTTCACCCTCTTTTGAAGCCATCCAAGTGGGGAATCATCACTGCCTCCTGGGCGAAAGAGCGCCATACTTTAACCATGCGCTGGATGAAGACAAACTTTGTTTCCTCCTGAATTTTCCAATGTTCAGATTCCATGGATGTTTCCATGGAGTTCTGGTGTTATGAGAGAGGGAGAAAAACTTCTCTCTCTTCACTTTCTATGAGGCTCATTCTATCTTGCATAATTATTCTTTTTACCTCCTTTTGGGATCAATCCAGCAGCCAGTTTCTGCAGTTTCTGATGTTGTCAAAGCCTTCAAGAAGCAGAATTGGATTTTATAATAATAAATAAATAATGCTTTTTATAATAAATTTTATTAGTTTTCAATTACAATCCAATAATAGCCTCATTATAACAATACTAATTTATAATACAATTATTAACACTAATCGTTCAAATGGCAAATTGTATAATTTAGATGGTTTGATGATTTTCTTTATTTCTGCATTCCAAAATCTTATTAGTTTCAATTACATTCCGGTCATAATAATAATCCCTTATAATGTGATTTTGAATCATGTGAAACCAGCAGGACTCTATCCATACCCCCCAACATTTCGAGAGGGCAAATTCAGATGCCCCACACCATCTCACCACCCCATTGCTCACGCCCACCAACACACACCCCTCCCTTTCCTGCCCACTGGCTCGCTCGCTCCTCCTCCACACCTTCGCTCTCCTCCTCTTCTGCAGCTGCCACCTTCGCCTCCACTGCTGTGGCCTCCCCCTGCGGCCAGCATGGCCTCCCAGAGGTACTTTGGCATAGCTCTTTGACGATCTCCAAAGCTATCCCAGAAGGTGGTCTGGTGCTCATCAGCAGGGTCGGACTCAACCTTGCTGACTAATGCTAAGGTGCTAGTCTTCATGGGATATTCCAGGATCCAAACAGAAGCTGGGATTGGATTATGTGATCCAGGATATACAGCTTAAAATGGGGCAGTTGTGGGGTAATAATAATAATAATAATAAATTTTTATTTATACCCCGCCTTTCCCAGTTCAGAAAACCAGGCTCATGGTGGCTAACAACAAATTTAAAACACTTAATTGGTGCAACAAAAAACAGCATAAAATATAGTATAAAAGGTGAATAACAATTCAGAATTCAAAAATCAATTTAGGGGGGAAATCCATCTAATAAACATTAGATTATCACCAGGGCTAGCTGGCTAAATTAGTCCTATTTGGGCCAGCGAGGAGACCAGGGGAGAATTAGCTGTGGGATCCCAGAGTGGGTAATCTTCATAAAAAGGGAAGGGGGACGGAAGGAAGGAGAATAAAAGATCAGGCTAAGTTCAAATTGAAAGCCAGGCGGAATAGCTCTGTCTTACAGGCCCTGCGGAAGGAAGTTAAATCCTGCAGGGCCTTGGTTTCATGGGACAGAGCATTCCACCAGGTAGGAGCCATCACTGAAAAGGCCCTGGCCCTGGTGGAGGATAATCTAACTTCCTTAGGGCCCCGGACCTCTAAACTATGATTATTCATGGACCTTAAGGTCCTCTGTGGGGCATACCAGGAGAGGTGGTCCCGTAAATATGAGGGCCCTAAGCCACAAAGGGCTTTAAAAGTCAAAACCAGCACCTTAAACCTGACCCGATACTCCACCGGGAGCCATTGCAACTGGTAAAGCACTGGGTGAATATGCTCCCATGGCAGAGACCCCGTGAGGAACCTTACTGCAGCATTCTGCACCCACTGGAGTTTCTGAGACAGTTTCAAGGGCAGCCCTGCATAGAGCGAATTACAGTAGTCAAGCCTGGAAGTGACCGCCGCATGGATCACTGTGGCCAGGTCAGGGCGGGAAAGGTAAGGGACCAACTGCTTGATGCAGCAAAGGTGGAAAAATGTCGCCTTGGCTGTTGCTGTAACTTGCACCTCCATGGAAAGGGAGGTGTCAAGGATTACACCCAACAGAAGGCAATGGCACTAACTGGGCCCCCTCAAGAGAAGGGAGTTGGTCCCTCATCCCCATACCATCCTGACCCAGCCAGAGGACCTCTGTCTTCGAAGGATTTAGTTTCAATCGGCTCCCATGAAACCATCCAGCCACAGCTTCCAAGCATCTGGTCAGTGTGTCTGGGGCCAAGTCGGTGTGGCCTTTCATCAGAAGATAGAGCTGAGCGTCATCAGCATATTGGTGACAGCCCAGCCCAAAGCTCCAGACAATCTGGGCAAGGGGGCGCATAAAGATGTTAAAAAGCATTGGGGAGAGGATTGCACCCTGCGGCACTCCACACACCAAGGAGTGGCACGACGACATCTCCCTCCCCAGCGCCACCCTCTGTCCCCGACCAGAGACAAAGGAGCACAGCCATTTTGGGGCTATGCCCTGTATCCCCACATCGGCAAGGCAGTGGTCCAGAAGATCATGATCGACCATGTCAAAGGCTGCTGACAAATCTAAGCGAATCAGCAGTCCCGACTCGCTTTGATCCAGTTGTCTACGGAGAAAAGCTAAAAGACCCCTGGATGTCCAGCCAAAGGTGACTATGGGGCTGTGGCGCTCATCTTGCTTTCAGGCCGAGGGAGCTGGCGTTTGTTCCCAGACAGCTTTCCGAGTCATGTGGCCAGCATGAGTGAACTGCTTCTGGTGCACGCCGCTTGCCTTCCCATCACAGTGGTACTTATTTATTTACTCATGCTGGCATGTTTCCAAATTGCTAAAACTGCTAGGTTGGCAGCACGTCCAATTACGTAGTAGGAGCGTCTCCAGGGACAAAGCCCCCACCTAAGTGCTGTGTCTGAGGCAAGAGTGGCGGCCATCTATTGTTTTGCGAGCGATATATGGCATACCCCCAAAGCACAAGATCTATGGTACCCCCCTAAGAAAACCTCTACAACTTTGGCTTGCCCCCTAAAAACTTTGGATTCCCCCCCCCAAAAAAAAATGGGTAGAACACTGCTAGATTTTCAGTCCGGGAGCAGATCGCAGTCTCTTGGGAGGTAGACATCCACAGGATGTGGCTAAGCAGATGTTTCCTATGTAGTTGATATGAAGAGCCTCGTGGTTAAATAGAGTGGTTAGAATGACATTAAAGGAGTGGTGTTTATCTGCATGTGTAAAACTCTCCGAAGGCCTAACACAGGGTGCAGCCCTCAATAACTCTTTTGTTTTGTTTGTCTTGTCTTGTTTGTCAGCATTCTTGATGCACCTTGAAATAAAATCTGAATCTATTTGAAAGCAGTTTCTCGTCATTGCTGGGACTGAATGACTCTGTTGTGCTCGAACCTGGCGTGGGCTTTTGCCCACGTCAGATGGAAACCACTCTCCCCTCCTTAAGTGGTTCATACCTCTTATCAGTTGATGGGCAAGATGGGAGGCTGCCTTGCCCCAGGAAGGCAATCATCAGGACTCCACTTTAAGCTCCTGATTTGTCCTTTGACAATGCCCCAATAAATGTTATTGTTTCTGGAAAAGCAAGAATGGAAATGTGTAATTTTAATTAGATAAGTGGTGGGGTTGGGGAGAGCTTCCAAAACTTAATTTGTTCCGGAGGTCCGTTCTTAACCTGAAATTGTTCTTAACCTGAAGCACCATTTTAGCTAATGGGGCCTCCTGCTGCTGCCGCGCCGCCGGAGCACGATTTCTGTTCTCATCCTGAAGCAAAGTTCTTAACCCGAGGTACTATTGTAGCACCCTGCTTGTGGTTAACGCTTAGCTGGAATGAAATATTCAACGCAGCAACAGAGAAATTAAATAATTATTTATTTGTCAGACAAATAAATGAGAGGCACAGTGGTATATGGTTACCAAGCTCTGGCCTGGCCTCCTGCCATTATGGCCAGCACTTATATTCCCTTAATCC